AATAGTGTTGCTACAAAAGTATAAATTAGGCTTACTAATAAGACAACTCAGATCTGAAGCTACACAGGAATCTGCTGCCAAAGTGCAATAAAAAAGAGAACATTTATAGAATCAAACCCTTTTGTTGTTGCATTTTAGTAGAGTATAAAAAGAAATGCCTTTAAAATAGGATGCAAGCAACACTAGTTTCTTAACCTGAATTGATAATAGACTATAATCAATTTAAACAGAACAGATCTTTATGTTTGCATTCTTATACCATGTTGTACAATAATTATAATGAATCAGTTCAAACAAACTAAAACTTACAGCTGATTAATAACGGTATCTAACTTGAGTTTTTATTATATCAAAAACCTGTTGAAATGCTACTGTTATTTTTACTGTCCCCAAAAAGCGCGTCGGCAGCCTCCAGGAATGCTTCTTTCACAACTTCGCCGTCTTTGAAAGACTTCATGTGTTTCGCAAGAACGTGACTGACACGATAAGATGCTATGGTAGCAGCCTTGCTCTTGTTGTTGGGCCTGGTGAAAATGGACTGCTGTGCATTTAGCTGTCCTTTCAGGTCCCTCTGACCTCTGACCTTTTGGGAGCGTAGGGCAGAATTAGGAGGGAATTCCGTCTCGTAGCGTTTGTGCACTGTTTTGAAATGCCGCTCCTAAATTACCATTCTTCGATAAAGCCACGCTCGCATTGCAGATGAGACAGATGGACTTTGAATTGGAATAGATACAAAAATAATCATCCTCCCACTCGGAGTGAAAATGATATATTTTGGGCTTTTTTGCTTCTGCCATAATTGCGGTCTTGTGTGTGTGCGGACTGTCACTCCTGTTGACATGGACAACGTCAGCGAACTAGTGCCCACTGCCCACCAGCCACACCCCGACACATGGGGTCACGCCGGCCAATCACAAAGCTTTGATGCGTTCAAGTGCATTATTCTGGCACAGGAAGATTATGTTATAGGACATTAACGATAAAACAGAATATTGTTGTTCTATTTTTAGACACATCTCGCGATCGACTGGTTGGGCACCCCTGCTCTAAACGCTTGAGTTTCACCGCGGCTGTCAGGTGTGTTTACTCGCGTCATTCAAACAAGACACGCTGGCTCGGGAGCTACAACTACAACAAAATTAACATATTTGACCGTGATTCAATTTTAATACACGTTTCTAAATGATGCCGAAGTAACAACATACTGATACCGGTTAGTAAAAACCATGAATTAATGCTTGACAAGTCTGCAGACAAGACGGCAGGCGAAAAACCTTTTAAAATGCTTGTTTTCTGAATGAAGATCGGGTCGACCGGGCTAAGCTAACGCAGTATATGCTCCGACCGTCCACACACACAACAACGGCCTATAGACATAAATAAACCAGCGACTGTATTCGCCATGACACAGACAGTCTGTGGTTTGTACTTGTTTAACTTTTGTCCAGTTTCTGAACAGATATGAGGAGCTGTGAGCTCTGTGTGCTAACTGCTAACAGCTAACGGCTGATGTTTTCTGGTTGAACGTCAGTGACGGCAGGCTGAGATCCTCACCGCTGATTGGCTACCGCGCGCATCACGCGAATATGAGCGTTTGTCGCGGCCCACTTCAATAGTCTCAATCGCGCTGCGGAATTCGCGTCCACCGCTTCATGCTTGCCGTCGGAGCGAATTCGCGTCCGTCCGCGTCTCTGCATTGATTTTACATGTAATCGCGCCGCCCCCAAACATCGCATCGCGTCCGATGTGAACGCAGCATTAGAGTGCTTTGATCTCAAAACAGAGTGGAGGACAACTTGAAATTCTCCCAAAACATTTTTTGAAACCTGCCATAATTCCCAAACCCTACACTCCTCAGACATCATTTTTCCTGAAAAGCGTAGGAAAACCTCTCCTAGGTTGGAAAATTAAAAAAAATGCCTCTTGAGGGCATGAAGAGACAAAAAGTCCACCTGGCTCCCATTAGACTCCTATGTAAAAAAATTCCGGATCTTTCTTCAGAACAGAGAGAAGTACACTTTAGACAAACCGCTCTCATCTTCACATTTACCACACAAAACCCAACAAAAAAAACATATATCAGTTCATTGGGGTTCCCTGATGCTCACGGTCTGTACTTCTACTTTTACTACAAGATCTGAGTACTTCTACTTTTACTACAAGATCTGAGTACTTCTCCTGGAGCTCTTGATGTGAGAGATGATTCTGCTGGTCAGGTCTTCATCACTCGATCTCCTCCTGAAGTACTCCTCCTTCTGGACGTCAGTGAAGCCTCGTACTTCTGTCACCCTGTCCACACACTCAGGAGGGATCTGATTGGCCGCTGCAGGTCTGGAAGTTATCCAGACGAGAGCCGAGGGAAGCAGCTTCCCCCTGATGAGGTTTGTCAGCAGCACGTTGACTGAGGACTGCTGTGAGACATCAGACACAACCTCATTGTTTCTGAAGTCCAGAGAAAGTCTGCTTTCATCCAGGCCGTCAAAGATGAGCAGCACTTTACAGACAGCCAGCTGCTCTGCTGTGACCTTCTGTAAGGTCGGATGGAAAACATGGAGCAGCCTGAGAAGACTGTACTGCTCACCTTTGATCAGGTTCAGCTCCCTGAAGGAGAGCGGGATCAACAGACTGACATCTTGGTTCTCCAAACCCTCGGCCCAGTCCAGAGTGAACTTCTGCACTGAGAAGGTTTTTCCAACTCCAGCGACTCCGTTGGTCAGGACCGCTCTGATGTGAGTCTGTTGGTCAGGTAAGGCTTTAAAGATGTCCTGGCACTTGATTGGAGTTTCTTGGAGGGTCTTCTTCTTGGAAGCTGTCTCCAGCTGCCTCACCTCATGTTGGGTATTAACCTCTTCACTCAGGCCTTGTGTGATGTAGAGCTCAGTGAAGATGCTGTTGAGGAGGGTTTCACTTTGATCAATTCCTTCGGTCCCATGTTCCCATCTCCTCCTCAGACTGATCCTATGTTCATCCAAAACCTCCTGCAGACCACCATCTGCTGGAAGAGAAAAACACATATGAGATTAATGAAAGTGTTTAAAAATCACAAAACAATTAACAGGAAGAATTTTTTTTTTTTAAATCAAGTTACCAGCAGAAATATGTATAGACTTACTTTGTATAATGCTGCATCCTTCTCCACACTGAGGACATGAGGGGTCTCCTGATGGAGTTGGCTGCTCCCAGCCTAAGGTGATGCACTGTCTGCAGATCCAGTGGTCACAGCTGGTAGTGACTGGATCTTTCAGGACGTCCTGACACAAAGCACAGCTGGACAGCTGCTCCTCCACAGGAACAGTACGTTTCCTCTTCTCTCTGTGGAGATGAACACATCCTTTATAGCACTTTACATTAGTGGTAAGCGATTTTAACCAATGGTACAATAAGGAAGCAAGTTCTGGTTTGATATTATTAAAATATTGTTATCCTTTTTCCACCGCTTATCCGAGGTCAGGTTCCCTGGCCAGCGTGGAGTAAAATCCCTTCACCAGGTCCTGGAACTGTCCCTCGGTCTCCTGCCAGCTGAACACCTCCCTAAGGAGTGGGTCAGGTGGCCTCCTTACTGCCCGAACCTCCTCAACTGGCTCTCTTCTATGCGAAGGATCAGCTAACTTCTCACCTTATCCCTAAGGGGGATGCCAGAAACCCTCCATAGAAAACCCATGTCAGCCATTTGTTTACCCGCACTACACATTTGGGCTTACCAGGTTTATCCAGTCCACTTCAAATACTCGAGACGATGCAGTTATGTATTTGAAGTGGACAGGGCCATATCTCAACATTGCAATGTGCCAGGAAGCTGATACTTAAACTGTGTCATACATATAACCCATGGAATTAGTGGACCGATTCCGGAGATGATTGGAGAACCTTTGACTTTGTGTCACATTTCACACTCATATCTGAAAAACTTCAATTTTCCTGAGAAACAAAAAGTTGCTCTGATTTGCCTGAAAGTTGGTATACTGAGAAAAGTAGCCTAACAGATGAGTATTTCAAACTTACGTACATGCATCCCCCGGCATCTTGGAAATATGACCTTGTCCACTTCAAATACATAACTGCAGGTTCTCGAGTATTTGAAGTGTAACGTACACTTCAAATACCCGAGAACCTGCAGAAATGTATGGGAAGTGTAAAGGCCTATACCTCAACATTGCAATGGGCCAGGAAGCTGATACTTGAACTGTGTCATGCCCCCAGCCCATGGATTGAGTGTCTCGAATTTGGAGATGATTGGAGAACCTTAGATTGTTTGACCTTTTCAAACTCACTCGTTTTTTCCTGAAAAACAGGTCAAAAATAAAGTTGCTCGGATTTGCATGAAAGTTGGTGTACTTGGAAAAATGGCCTCACAGAAATTCAAAGTGCATGTAGCCCTTGGCATCTTTAAGATATGACCTTGTGCATTTCAAATACATCAAGTCAAGTAGTGAGGAAGGGTATTTCACATCGCCTCAAATGGAGATCAGTGAGGTCTCAGAAGTTACGTGATAAGTGATTTTGGAACAACAACATCCATCCGACACCCCCTTCTCTGCCTCTGCTTTCCCCCTGGGCCGTCCGCCCGGATAACTCACGTAACTTATTTAGTTGGACAACATTTTTTTTAAACAAGTATATATCAATATTATCATTTCATCATGATTGTCATTTTAAAACCATTTTATGCCACAAATATAATGATAAAACAACAGGTTCATAATACTTGAACACCATTGCAAAAAAGCCATTGACTGATCATCCTTAAGGATTCATTGTATTGTGAAAACAAATTGAATGATGGTCAATGTGTTTCTTTACTGTTCTGCGTTTTAACTGTATTTTACTTTTACTGTAATCCGCTTTGCTTCTTTACTGACTTCAAATGTGTTTCCTTGCTCTAAACAACTGTGATTATTACTGGGTGCGCTCATGTAGTTAATAAAGAACAGGTTAGATTATCAGGTAACATAAACACTGAATCCTCTTCAGGTCAGTTCACAGTAGAAACAGATTCTTACTCTGTGTCTGAGGGTCCAGGTTCATCACTGAAGTATAGAGGAGAGCCTTTAGACTGGTCACTCTTCAGAGACAGACAGCTGGGGGCTGGAGACTCTGCTCTCTGTCTGAAACAACACATGTTTTACACACACCATTAGTTCATTTATAGAGCAGCTTTTGTCCTCTGTCTGTTCACCTGATTAAACATGGTTAGAGTGTTTGAGTCGTGCTTGTTGGTTTCTGCTGTTACAATTCATGTTTGAAACGTTTTACAAAGTCGTATCTTTACTATTATTTACTATCGCTGATGCAAGGAGCACGAGTTCAATCAAACTGTGCTGTGTTACTGTACTCTACCAAGTTTCTTTACTGTGATCATTAAAAAAAGTTTAGATTAAGAGATAATATACAAACTGAATCCTCTTCAGGTCAGTTTACAGTAGAAACAGACTTACTCTGTGTCTGAGGGTCCAGGTTCATCTCTGAAGACTGGAGGTGTTTCTTTAGACCGGTCACTCTTCAGAGACAGACAGCTGGAGACTGGAGATCTGTCCTCTTCCTCATCTTTTAAATCACTCATCTTCTCCAGTCTGAGAGATAAACCAGTAACACTGGAGACACACACACACACACACACACACACACACACACACACACACTCACACACACTCACACACACACACATTATAATAACACACTTGTTTCAATCAAAACCATCATAATAATAAACTTGGTTAAAATACAACAATCAGTCAGACTTCAGACAGGCCGCTACATGTTGACTGTGCTGGGCTGTTACAAGATATGTAACTCTGATGAATCAGAAACCAGTACATGGAGAAAACATTACAACATTAGCAGAAGTCTCATTGGACTCTAGGACGCTGATTTTGTATCAATAATTTATGTTCTGAAATCAGTTTAACAGAGTAAATAAGCAGAGCCTGGTGTTAACAATCACCCTGTTGTCCTCCTCTCTGTCGAAGTGTAAAATGGCATCTGGCAGTTTGACTTAATTATTTTAATGAAACGCCCTCACCTGTCTGTAGCTCCTCCTCCCTTTGTTTCATAGCCTCATCAGAGGAATGTGAACATACAGGATTATATTCAGTAAGATAGAAATAGACATGCAGCAAGTAAACATCCTGCATTAAAAGCCTTACTAAAGTTAAAGTGTGTAGGTATTTAAGAGCTCTACTGTTGACTGTGCATTACATTTTTCCCTTATGTATATATAATGCAATTATTTGTAATTATTTTAATAGAAATGTAAACGTTGTATTTTTTTGTCAATTTAAATGTCTTTATATATTGTTTTTCAAGTTTGTTTTTATTTTTGTCATGTATTAAAAATAATTTTTTCATGTTTTGTATTCAATTTAAAAAAAAAATTGTTTAATATTATTATTTTAATATAATCTGTATTATCTTTGTTTCAATTGTCATTCGTTCGTATAGTAATTCAGTGGCGGCTGGTGGAATTGTTTCACTACCTCCCTCTTTTAACAGTATATCTGCAAACATATCTCTTCTCAAAAGCATATCTTAAATCATAAAAGATTATTAAATATTAAACGTATTTAATTTTTTTATATTTCCGGCTTTCATTTGATAGAAATAAGGTCGAACCTGCTTGTTTACCTTACTGTGGTTGATAAGACGTTTGTGTTATGGGAACGATTTGTGTTTAGGTTATTGATCTGTCCATATGTTTCAAAATAAACCTCACTATAGAAAGCTAGTCTTATCAGTAAAGTCTCTGAGAGGGAATTACAGCCTGTCTCTACGGCCTCTCTCTTGTAATTCACACGACATCTTAAAATATTTAGCTATCATCAAGTGTTGTTTGTTCTCTAAACACATCCATGCTTTTAACAGACGAGGGCTTTTATTTTGAAATTACTTCCTGGCCATTAAGTTTTAAGGTAAAAAACTAAAACTAAAGAAATGTTGCAGTTGCTTTTTCGATTACTGGTATAAGAAAGAAAGACGATTGAAACAGTGAGCCGGCCCGGCTAAAGTAACTGGATGGCCTACCTGCCTGTCAGCCTTCCATCTGTGCACAAACTTATCTCGTGCCCTCATTGGTCATGTGCACGTTCGTGTGTGTTGGAGGAGGGGCTCTGTAAGGAAGTGGCACATTTTCTCCGGTTGTGTATTTCAAATTCTAGCGCACTCACACTTACCTACCCTACCTTTAAGTGTAAGCCTTTTATTGTCATTGTACCAAATTACAATGAGATTCAGAGTGCAACCCTGTCCCAGTGTGCAATAACTATACATACATAACATTAAAAACACGGCAGTAGGACGGACAACATAAACAGTCATACGGGGGGAATAGATCGTTAAAAATAATGATATAAAAATAATTTTAAAAGTGCATTAAAAATGTGTATAATGTGTATATGTATGAAGATGATTACGGTTATTGCATTAAGCGTGGTGGTTAAGCAGCCTGACGGCCCAGGGGTAGAAACAGTTTTTTAGTCTGTTTGTCCGTGACTTGAAGCTCCTGTATCTCCTCCCAGAAGGCAGGAGAGAGAACAGTCTGTGACCTGGGTGAGAGCTGTGCTTTATTATTTTATTAGCTCTGCTGAGGCAGAGGGAGGTGGAGATGTGTTCCAGAGAGGGCAGGGGGCAGCCAACGGTTTTCTCAGCCATCCGTATCACTCTCTGCAGGGTTTTCTTGCCCGCAGCTGAGCATCCAGCATACCACACAGAGATGGAGTATGACCGCACGCTCTCGATGGTTGCCCGGTAGAAGGACACCAGCAGCTTCTTGTTCAGTCGGTTCCTCCGAAGCACCCTCAGGAAGTGTAGTCGCTGCTGGGCCTTCTTAACTGCTGCAGTGGTGTGTGCTGTCCAGCTGAGGCTCTCCGATATTTGTACCCCCAGGAACTTAAAGGTGGAGACCCTCTCCACTCTCTCTCCATTGAGGTGAAGGGGGGCGGGTTCTGGACGGTGCTTTCTGAAGTCTATAATGATTTATTTGGTTTTGCTTGTGTTCAGATGTAGGTTGTTTGCTGAACACCACACAGACAGCTTCAGGATCTTGTCTCTGTATGCCGACTCGTCTCCCTTATGTATTTGACCGACCACAGTGGTGTCATCTGCACATTCTATATTGGAGTTGGAGGGGTGGGTGGGAGAGCAGTCGTGTGTGTAGAGTGTGTAGAGTAGCCAAAACATCGTTATGACATCATAAAGTGGCCAAAATCTGATCAGCTCATTTTCAGACAGGTTTTTATATAAATAGACCAGGACAAAAAGAGAGAGAATCTTTGTTCCTGAAACTTTCAGAGTCTCTTTCCACAGAGGGGACACATGTTGATGAAGAAGAGACATGAAGAAGTGGATTTTGCATAATAGGTGACCAACCTGTTAAGCCCGGTCGCCCCCGCCGGCGGGGACAGACGCAACATCTTGCAAGAAACATCATCTCAGGGTTTCTTAACATTTAACAACGCATTAATGATGCATACCCACTTAACGGGCAGAAACTCAGCTAACAGACGATATTAACAATTTTTACCTAAATGAAACACAAATCCAATGTCTCTGTATCACTTTGAAATGATTACTGATAATCCATCATTACATTTGTAAATAATAAACGCAATAAACGTCTTATAATGGTTAGCTGGCCGGAGCTTCCAGTTTAGGAGGTGCGCACGCAGCGTGTCGTTCTAACTGACCAATGGTAATGTTTACATAGATTTATGAACTGCCCCTCGATTCTATTGGCTCTAACTGTTACAAAGAGGTGTCAATCACCCAAATCGACCAATGGGTTCCAGAGATAGGGCGCTGCGTAATGCATGCAGGTCTGACTGCCAGCTGGCGCAGCATTACGCTTTGTGGCCAAAAGTGGTATAGAGGTCAGGGAGAATATTTCAAAAAGGTCAAAAACAGTTGGATTTGAATGGAATGAATACCTATAGTGATATTTCAATTAAATAAAATGAGTTTTACAATGTAGTACCTGAGAAAGGTCCTGAGGCCTGAAAAACAGGCCCAGGGCTTAAGTAAGGGTTTTAATGCAGGATGTTTACTTGCTGCATGTCTATTTCTATCTTACTGAATATAATCCTGTATGTTCACATTCCTCTGATGAGGCTATGAAACAAAGGGAGGAGGAGCTGCAGACAGGTGAGGGCGTTCAAAAAGAAAGAATGAAGTCAGACTGCATTTTACACTTCGACAGAGAGGAGGACAACAGGGTGAGTGTTAACACCAGGCTCTGCTTTTTAACACATTATTTACTCTGTTAAACTGATTTCAGAACGTAAATTATTGATAACAAATCAGCGTCCTAGAGTCCAATGAGACTTCTGCAAATGTTGTAATGTTTTCTCCATGTACTGGTTTCTGATTCATCAGAGTTACATAACGTGTGACAGCCCAGCACCGTAAACATGTAGAGGCCTGTCTGAAGTCTGACTGATTGTTGTATTTTAACCAAGTTTATTATTATGATGGTTTTGATTGAAACAAGTGTGTTTTAATAATGTATGTGTGTGTGTGTGTGTGTGTGTGTGTGTGTGTGTGTGTGTGTGTGTGTGTGTGTGTGTGTGTGTGTGTGTGTGTGTGTGTGTGTGTGTGTGTCTGTGTGTGTGTGTGTGTGTGTGTGTGTGTGTGTGTGTGTGTGTGTGTGTGTGTGTGTGTGTGTGTGTGTGTGTGTGTGTGTGTGTGTGTGTGTGTGTGTGTGTGTGTCTCCAGTGTGACTGATGTATCTCTCAGACTGGAGAAGATGAGTGATTTAAAAGATGAGGAAGAGGACAGATCTTCAGTCTTCAGCCGTCTGTCTCTGAAGAGTGACCGGTCTAAACACTATCCTCTAAACTTCAGAAATGAACCTGGACCCTCAGACACAAAGTAAGAGTCTGTTTCTACTGTAAACTGACCTGAAGAGGATTCAGTGTTTATGTTACCTGATAGTCTAACCTGTCTAACCTAAATGAGCGCACCCAGTAATAATCACAGTTGTTCAGAGCAAAGAAACACATTTGAAGTCAGTAAAGAAGCAAAGCAGATTAGAGTTAAAGTAAATTACAGTTAAAACCCAGTACAGTAAAGAAACACAGGGACCATTATTCAAGGATATTTAAATATTAGTTTTCACATTACAATTAATCCTTCAGGATGATCAGTCAATGGCTTTTTTGCAATGGTGTTCACTTATTATGAACCTGTTGTTTTATCATTATATTTGTGGCATAAACTGGTTTTACAATGGCAATCATGATGAAATGATCATATTGATATATACTTATTTAAAAAAAGTGTTGTCCAACAAAATAAATGATATGCGTTATTTGGGCGGACGGCCCAGGGGCAAGGCAGAACGGGAACAGCGGGAACGCTCAGGGGGCTGGAGACAGGGGCGAAGGGCCACGGCGGGACCCCTCTGGGGGCTGGGCTGGAGGGCTGAAGGCAGGAGATTTTCATAGGACAGCCAAGAGGACTCCGGTCGTACAGTTTGGCCTTTGTTGGATGCCAACCAATTAAGGCCACTGTATATTTTTCTCAAGAAATTGTTGTTCCAAAATCAAATATCACGTAACCTCAGAGACCTGACTGATCATCTCCAAATTCGACAGACTCAATCCATGGGCCGGAGGCATGACACAGTTCAAGTATCAGCTTCCTGGGCCATTGCAATGTTGAGGTATAGACCTTTACACTTCATATACATTTCTGTAGGGTCTTGGGTATTTGAAGTGTACGTTACACTTCAAATACCCGAGATCCTGCAGTTATGTATTTAAAGTGGACAAGGTCGTATTTCCAAGATGCCAAGGGATACATGCACGTAACTTTGAAATACTCATCTGTTTCATCACTTTCCTCAGTACACCAACTTTCATGCAAATCAGAGTTATTCAGATATGAGTGTGAAATGGCACACAAAATCAAAGGTTTGCCAATCATCTCCGGAATTGGTCCACTAATTCCATGGGTTATATGCAGGACACAGTTCAAGTATCAGCTTCCTGGCCAATTGCAATGTTGAGATATGGCCCTGTCCACTTCAAATACATAACTGCATCGTCTCGAGTATTGTAACCCCTAGATTCCACCGGGTCCGTCTGCGCCGCGTTACGGCTGCGCCGCGTTTTGGTCCGGCCTCCTCCGGCGTCATACCCTACCAGGCGCGTTTCAGAAGCATTTCAGAAGCGGAGCGTCTTGCCTGCCGGCTCGCAGTTTTTGTTGATTTGGGCATCTTTCCTGGACAGGCTACTTTGTACAGACAAAGTTAATAACTGTAATATTCCAGTTATAAACGACATCAAAGATGTGTTGCTGTATTTTAGTGGTAAAAAAATGCATTCATCATCATAATTATTCTATATATATAATTTACACAGTGCCTGTAAACCGGAGGAGAACGCTGGCATTTCTCCTCCTACTTGAAAGACTACGGAGGGATAGGGTCTGCAAAATTAGTTTGTGTGTGTGTATATTTAAGCAATAGCTCACGACAGGCCGTGGTATATGGCCATTATATCACAGTTAAGGGGCGTGGTTCGGCCCGACGCGAAGCGGAGGGTCGACAATATATACTATACTGTGATATAATGGCCATATATCACGGCCTGAAGTGAGCTATTGCTTTTATAAAACGGTTACCAAGTGTGGCAATATGAAAGAAAAATACACACTCTAATTTAAATAGTTGTTATTAGTAAATAATGATGTTCAAAATAAAATAGTCCCTCCGTTGCCTTCTGCACGAAACATAGTGCAAGGTGGTTGCTATGCAACAACACTAACAACAGCTAGCGAACATATTAGACAGAGAGCGTTGATCCATTATTTGGCTATTTATTTACATTAATGTGTATGTTGCCGTTTATTGTGCACCCACTGAAAAACTGTCCAGCATCAGTAGAATGGCTTACGTGGTTATAGGCTGAGGTTGTTCTAGGCTGTTGTTTGGCGTGGCGAGAATATTGCTCCACTTTCTCCGGTCCCCGAGATTCAGCTTCCAGTAGCTCTGGAGAGAGCTTTCGCACCTGTGGCCACTAACGGTCATAATTTCTCTGCTTTGTTTCAAGACCCGCATCAGAAAGCTTTTGAATGGTGATACTTTTCCAGTTGGTCTACTACCTGCTCTTCACGTAGCTCTGCATGTCGTCGTTTAGGTGCTTTTTGTTCTGGAGATAGGCACTCGCACTCCTCAATCCACTCCTCCATAGTAAGACCCCCCCGGAGGTCGAAGTTAATCTTAAATGTTTTTGTGGACCTTTTTGATTACAGATTTGAAAACATCGTTGCTTGCTTTAAAAGTAGCACAATTCATTATGTCAAACCTTGGAAAGTATCTAAATATCCCTGCCCTAATGCCAAAGGAACTGCACACTGAATATGTTTTTGCCGTTTGATGTCTATGTCTGGACCGCTGCGTAAAAAGGAGGGTTTCTGCCCCGTTACTTCTCCGCTGCTTTCTTGTTCCAGTTTGAAAAGCAAACTGCAAGCAGTTTGCTTTTCAGCCCAACTGTATACTGTTTTTCTCAGACGCGGAGGGATACTGACTTGTTGTGAAAAGTAACTTACAATTCTACCCGTGGTATACGCTCAGTATATCACGGCTAAGAACCAATCAGATTGCTTGATTTGACTTGTCCGTTTTATAAATATATATATATGCTATATATGCTCTGACCGTTCCACTTCCTGCCTGCCCGACCTTACCTTACGGCTGCGCCGCGTCAAAAATAGGATTCATCCTAATTTTAGAGGAGCCCTGCGCCGAGCTGCTTCTGGGACGCTTCTGGGACGCTTCTGGGACGCTTCTGCGCCGTAACGCGCCGCGTGTGGTGGAATAGCACCCATTGACTAGAGTGGCCGCGATCGCCGCGATCGCCGTGAGCACCGCGGCGCAGCCGTAACGCGCCCGGCCCGTAACGCGCCCGTAACGCGCCCGTAACCCCGTAACCCCGTAACGCGCCCGTAACACGCCGCAAACGGACCCGGTGGAATCTAGGGGTAAGTGTACTGGATGAACCTGGTAAGCCCAATTGTGTAGTGCGGGTAAACAAGCGGCTGACATGGGTTTTGGTGGATAGTGTGCTGGACTTCGAATCAGGGGGTAGCAAGTTTGAGTCCCACTTCAGTCAGCATGTCATTGTGTCCCTGAGCAAGACACTTCACCCCAAATTGCTCCTGTGGGGATTGTCCACAGTACTGAATGTATGTAAGTCGCTTTGGATAAAAACGTCTAACAAATGACATGTAATGTAATGTAATGGGATAAGGTGAGAAGTTAAGTCATCATGGAGGGTGACTTAGCTGATCCTTCGTGTAGAAAAGAGCCAGTTGAGGAGGTTCGGGCAGTAAGGAAGCCACCTGACCGACTCCCTAGGGAGGTGTTCAGCTAGCAGGAGACCGAGGGACAGTTCCAGGACCTGGTCAAGGGATTTTACTCCATGCTGGTTTGGGAACCTGACTTCAGATAAGCCGTGGAAAAAGGATAAAAACCTTTTAATAATATCAAATAGTGCGGCAGCTTAGCAAAAGTATGGGGACACGCCGGATAAAAGCACCACATTTTGTCCATGTGTTCTACATCACCATAGCTTTAAATGTGGGGGGGGAGCCACTTCCAAGATGAGCCGCCATGCAAAAGCTATAAGTGCCAATATCTCGGCTTCCAAGCCAGTTAGAAGGTCAATCTTGGTGTCAAAATATACATTTTCTCGGTCAGGGAATGCATTAACCTGTTAAGCCCTGAGCCTGTTTTTCAGGTCTCAGGCTCGAAAATGACATTCCCAGAACAAATGACCATATCTTCCCTTCAAAAAGGGTTAAATTAATAATCTTTTTTCTCAAAGTAATGATAAACATGTGAGTTGGATATAGAAAAGTCAGAATCAATATAGATGTTTTTTATTTTAAATTTCAGATTTTACATAGTAAAAAACTGTAAATGATAGTGTCCGTCCAAAAATTCTTTTTTACTTATAGTGAAAACTACCCTTGGATGATGGGTTAGTAGACTAAAAGCTTTAGGAATCCAAAGTACAACATATAATAAGTACCCTGTATCAAGATTGATGCAAAACAAGTGACATTTGACCTTTTTAGAGAGATTTAGCAAAAAGAAACCACTTCTGGGGTCATTTGGGTAGATTTTCCATATCTCTGGCCCCCCTTGCTCAATTTTGATGGTTGACACCTCTTTCTGACCGTTAGAGCCAATAGAATCGAAGGGGGAGTCCCCCACACACACACGTTGTGAAGAGAAGAGGTGGGGGCTTCGCGCATGTAATTTTGCATCAGAGTGGACCTATCTCTAGCTTTGACATCTGGAAACGGAAAAGCAGTTTTAATGCTTATGGATTATCAGAAATCATTTCAAAGGGACACAGACACATTAGATTAACCTATGGATTAACTTCAGCAGAATTTTTATCATTTGAATGCCATTGAAGACCACTTTGGAGAGACTACAGAGCCAAGGTAAAAATGGTAGCATTTTTAGCTACCTAGCGTCACCTGTTTTGATGTCCGTTTTTGCTTATAACGTCGCAAATACGTATAATTCAGTGGTAATGTCGCTGTCGTTAGATTCTGTGTCACCTCACGATGTGAAACGATGTGTTGCATGTGGTGAAAAGATAAATAATAAGGTTTTGTGAGTGATTTTCGGTGCAGTAAGGTGTTAGCATTTTTCGCTCGTTGCTAATTCAGAGGCTCAGTGTTAGCATTGTGGGTTTTCTTTTGAAAAAAAAATAAAAATGATCAGTTAGATGAGTTTCTTCCCGTTACATGGATATAAAACATTCATAGTTTTATTAAATGAACATGCCCTCAGACACTGTTTCCTGCAAGATGTTGCGGCAGTACCCCGGTACCGGGGTCTCTCGGGCTTA